CGACACACTACCGATCCTAGCCATCAGCGAACAGCCACTGGAAGTGGTGGATCGATTAACTTACCTTGGTTGCTGCGTCATTCCTAGCAGTCACATCACTGAAGAGGTTACTTCGCGTATCATCAAGGCCCATGTGTCTTTCCAGATGCTTAGCCATCTATGGAGAAGGTGGGATATCAACCTGTCATTATAACACATGATGTATAACGCTGCGATAAGGCCGGTCTTACTGTATGGAACAAATATCTGGTCACTTCGCCGCGAAGACATTACACTTGGCCGTGTTTGACCACATGTGCTTGCGGAGTATTGCTCACATCTTGTGGGTATATTGGGTAAGCAAGACTGAGGTCCGCCAGTTGGTTTTTGGCAGGAAGCCTTCTGGTACCTCAATCGAGCGTTTGCTGAATCTTAATCGCATAAGTGAAACGTCGTTTGCATGCCGTATTTTACCCCTGGACAAACTGTAGTAGATTTCTGAGTTATTCGACTATGAGTAGTGTACATTGACGTATTTGTGCTTACCCACTTTGGTATATGCGGTATGCAAGGGATTCCTGTTTTACATCGGACAATGATGCCTAATCCGGATATATTTTCGCGGTTTTCATACCTAGTTCTTCTTTCAAGACTTAGTAATGAAGCAGTGTATGATGGCGATATTTCGAGGAAGTTCATGTTACGGAACAGCGGTTTAGTTCGGTAACAACTCTATCTGTCGTCCCCATTTCCGTGGCTTCTCAATTGAGTTTCAGGAATATTAACAAAGTGTCAACATAGTCCTGATATTCTTGTCTGATCGACCTAGTATTGCGATGTTAAACAGAGTATACGACCCCACGGCTTCCTCATGTTTCCTTGCGTCAAAATCGAACAAGCCGACACGTTTTGCTAACGGCCGCTAACACTTACAGCCATGTGTGCATAGCTGGCCACTTTGAAGTCTGTGTGGCCAAATATGCTATACTGCGTGCTTCTCTACTTCGTCCTCAGGTTACTCAGAGATAAGCTTTACTAATGCCGCGTCTTCCCACCCCCGATTATCCATATTTGAGTTTGAAACTGGAACAATTGCTTAGGAAACTCAATCTCCTAGACCCATTGGTGCGCCTGTGATCCTTCTTCGCGGTGAGAGCTTTTAATTCATGGCATTGGCAGAAAATCCTGGTGGACCCGTTAGTTTTAGTTTACCTAATAGTATCACAGGCTTCCTAAAGTCATACGAGAATTCCAGCTATCGATTCGATTTGGCCATCGCGCCTTTATCAGCGGGTCATTTGCCTGGAGCCTTTATGATCTTAGGATGATCAGTTAGATATGTTACCACAGCCACATAACTGGTGCGCCATTGTATGCCAGAACAAGCGAAGCTGATCAAGAGGTATGTATTAGCGAAGTGAACACAACACCGAACAAAATATATCGGACAAAAGGATAAATACCAAATGCACACTACAATTGACGCTAGAAGCATGTGTAATTATATATGAACTGAAAGTTTCACTAGGTTGAATATTTTATGTCAGGCTGCGAAAACAGCTTTCTGTGACACAGAAGATAAGTGGTTATAGCGGTTCATTGTTAATTCATACTGACGCTCCACTGTCACGCAATCACGAGCGATGGTATACATGCTGGGATACTACAGGGGTGCAATGTCGGGGACTCGAATCTGGGGCGTAGATGTCAAAACATAAGCGTCTTAGTAGCTATAGGGCGAATAGCAGCCGATATTCAGTATAATCTGACCGAACAAAAATGGCATTTTCGCCACTCTATTTAGAGGACAGTGGGTTTTGTTGAACATGTTTGCGACTCTCGGTCTCGTGATGTTGCCAGCAGCTGTGGTAAAAAACAAGATATCAAAATCATCGACACATTTAACGAATAATAATAATGTGTCAGTTGTACACCGTAACGGCGCTAGCTGCCGCGCGACCACCACCAGTCGCGCGCGGGCTGTGTATACCGTGAGGACGCCCACCCCTACCTTGTTCTAAAATCGATCAAACAGAGCCGCGGCTAGTAACCTCGGAACCGTTGTTTGAATTATATTCACTTATTCATGTGATTCAGAGACTGGCTACCAAAGGTTCATTTAGCATGTGACCCTGATGTAGATTGCGCTCCATGGCCTGGCTGTGTGGGCTCGGTGTATCTGACAGATAAACTGTATGACTAAATGTTATATTTTTAAGGTATTCATCCCAGTAGTTCACAAGCTACATAGCACATCTTAGTTCGGAAAAGCACCAAACGCGTTTCGCTGTATTGGGGCTTGTCAGCAGTGCGCATTCACCCGGTTTCCAACAGAATCGTACTCATGACCACTAGAGGCGGATGCCAGCTAGCGTGTGGTGCTTTTCCGGACTAGGCTGTGCTATGTAGCTTGTTAGCCGTTTGGATAAATCTCTTAAAAATAACAACTAAAATCCTGCTACTCACGAGTTATATAAATGTTATATTTCCCGAATCAATCTAGACCCCAATTATATAATAACACAAACTTCGGTCGGCACGCTTTCAGTAGAAGTTTGGCTAGACGTAAAAATTCGTCAGGCCACGTGAATCAGTGCATAACAGATGTGGCGTTTTATATCAGAGCGAGATGAGCGTTTTAGTAGCAGAGACCAGCCGAAATGCAACTTAATGTGGGTCCCAAGAAGACGCATCTTGACTACGCCCGAAGTTCTACATTGTTCACGCCCCACTATCTGCTTGAGCAATAGCTTTAGCGCTTTGATAACCAGTTCCGCAAACGTTATACGTGACTCAGCTTGCATGCACGTGGGCGCGCCTCGATAAGTTTTCAAGCTATTTTCTGATTCTCCTCACTATAAACTCATCATACTTTTTGGAGTCACACCGTGTCCGATCCGGGGCTGGTCATTTCTGGCCATGCGCGCGATCATCTAGATGTTCGACTATGCAGTCTGCGTTGCCTATGGCTATCGATGCTTATTGGGAAAGGCTGATTATGATGCGGGCCGGTAAAGGCCGCAACGAGGCTACCTTAATGATGTCACCTTATCATGGCACAATGGCCAGTTGTAATATGGTGTATATTCCCCGACTCATAATGTTTTGCTAGAACACTTAGATCCTATACTAAGACCCCTCATATTACATCCAATTCTCAGGGCATCCGCAGCTGAGTGACAGGTTCATCATTTCAGAGTACTTGTGTACTGGGGTGTTGATGATAAAGGTCAAATCTAATTTTATCTCTGGTTTCCCACCGTCGACATCGATCTGCATTTAATCGTCAGCACCACAAAACTCACCATACATGCATCTAACACTAATGCTGCGACTTCGATATCCACGATGGCACTGTGGATAATTCTGAATTGTATGCCCTGGGTAAAGCCTCACTGTCCAATGCAAAGGTTCCTGCGCTAGGCGTTTACACCTCGTCAACAGCACATGTCTATCGTGCGAACTTAAAGCGGCATTGGAGAGCTTTGGCTTTAACTGCTACGTTTCATTATTAACCCTACTCCACAAATAATTCGGCGCAGTAGGCAGTTCGACTAGAAGACAACGCAACCAACATGCTGTGTCAGTAACGAACCATGCCCCATAATGGTGAACTTTTCTATGTCGCTTCAATACGAGAAGCCAATATTAGCCACTGGCTAATTCGACTATTTTGGTGGCTTTAGTCGTTGCTGTGCCTATAAAAGCGAAGATGATCTCTCCTACCTTACGACATTAACGCCATCAAGCCAGTAGTATCAGTCACACCTGTCTGGCCACTACGTGGGTCAGAGGTATCTGACATTTTCCACTCTTGATTGTCGGTGTTCATTTGATGTTGAGCTGAAAAATCAACTGGTGAAAATCGATGTACCTCGCTTTCGCAGCATGTGTGCGTGAATGAGTTTTGATTGCTTGGACATGTGTACCGCGCGACCATTCACTACTTTATTGAGCATTCTTGGTGGTGTCGATTTGTCTGCTTTCCGAGGATTGGCTCACTCGAAGCGCATTCGCCATCGATCGCATTGCTGTTTTCGCTAATAGGATAGCCCTCTCAAATTACTCACCGGGTTTGGTCGATTATGGATCAAGGAAATGAATTCCCAGGTGTAAGCCACCGCGATAATTTCGCATTGTCTGGACGTAATGACCAATCAGCCTGCTCGTGATTGAATATTCACTATTTCAGAAAATCATACTTTTACGTCTCCACTTGGAAAGCACATAAACTTGTTAAGTCGCAGCTCAGAACGCATTTTACACCGGGACTCGTCGGTGGCCTTAACTGGGCTGTAAACTTGCAGTCCTGTCTCAGTTGACGTGTGTTTCGTGCGGCGATAATTACTTGTCGGTAATGAGGCGATCGACTGATTTAATGTTCCAGAGGGTACCGTTCGATCCTAAACACTTATTCTTAGTGTCGTAGAAACATCACATATGCACGAAAAATAGTCTCATGAAAAAACATTCGTGTTGCATTTCTGAGTGCTTCTAGCCACTCTTCTCTCGTAAATCCAGATTCCATTTAGTTTAATAATGGTATTTTTCGGTCATGCATTCGTACCAAGCTACACCGGCTCGCTGAGCCGGGACAGATTCAAATGGAAATTCCACGGACCAACAGTATTTAGACCATCACTTGAGGGGCTATTTTTGTTCGTTTGCACACTGAACTTTATCCCATCCCCGCTGAGTAACTTATTCAATTGTAGTCTGTTTGACTATCTGCTTTATTAGTATTTGTTATCTTCTTCAGGTCGATTGTTGGTAACTGTGCTTGGTCATTTGAGGTTATTCCATCACAAAATCTTCGTCGAAAAGCTGGTAACACTAATTATTTGAGTCTTTTAGGCACATGCTGAAGATACTAGAATGTATGGCATAAATCCCAAACGAACCGTTGAAATGCAATGGTAGCTTCACTATAGTATTCATGAATTTTCCGAAACATTTTCTAACACATTCATTATGCACCATAGTTGATGAGCCGTTACTTAGGTGTTTTCGCTTGGTTTCAGGTCAAGACAATACCGTTTCCTTACAATACCCCGGAACAATTTGAAGCTTTCATCTCTCAGCCGATATCCCGTGAATGGCTCACTGAAACTGCGCATCGGGAACGCAATCGCCCTAAAATCACCGTTCAAAGCGGACGAATTATTCGACCGTTATCAAGAACTGCGGCGCTTTTGCGTGATAAAGACGTAGAACGCCTGGTGAAACAGGGGAAAGAATGTTAACCAATCACGTACTCCATCGCGAAAAGTATCTCTTTGTACATTGTTTCCAACTAGCACAATAAAATCATCAGCCTTTTCGAATCGACTCATTTTACCGCTTACGTATTGCTACAATCGGCGAAATCAACGCAGCTGAACCCGTATTGATTGGAGATAAGGAGTAACGAGAAGCCTAAGGTAGAGTAAACGGGCGGAAGGGGATTGCACCTGTTAATTCAAATGCTTTGGTGAAATCAAAGGGCTTTCAAGTGGACATTTCTGAATCAATTCATGAGGGTAATGGATAATGTTAGTTCATTTCGCCGCAAATTTCACATTAGTTTTGAATTGTCCAGTTACGTTTCCAGGTGGGTAGTAGAAGCAGACGACGATAAACTTGGCACTCATGGTCAGGGGACTTTCGGCGAAGTTTTTGGGTTGAGCGGCAAACGCAACGCCAATGCATTGTGACCCTGTCCACACCAGCTGTGTGAAACTGCCTACATGAAGAGGATTGAAGAAGCGTGTTTAGCTGATGAAGTGGAATGCTTTTCAGTCGAATTATAAAATACACAGAATCATGAGTGACAATGTGGAAAAGTGTATGTTCCGTGGCCGTTCACAACTAAGTCTGGCCACTTATGCGTGCTGATCGATTCATTGAGTCGGTATCCGAAGGCACAAGCGAGCTCGTTGAACGCACAATTTCCCGGCTGTGTTTAGCAAATACATAAGCTTTTATTCTCGGCTATGCGAGACACCCCCTTAGTGGCACTAAGGTTTCGCAAACACCATCCCAAAACAGACACTGTTTACGGATGAGCGGTATGTCGTGTTCTCCGCTACGCCCAAACGCCTTTCCGTAGACCGCCATTTGACTTTTTTATCTCAGGATTCAAGGCCAGTTGGCCAAGTGTGCTCCATGCGACGGATCCAGTTGCATGAGCTCACACACCCAATGCTATATATATATATATATATATATATATATATATATATATATATATATATATATATATATTGGCTGTTGTTTGACATCCCAGGTGTGGCTGCGCTTGATGTGCATGTTGACAAGGTGCCTACCTGTCTATTACCCACTACCTCGTCCATATTGGCTCCAGGAGACAGTTGGTCGTTGCTGGAGGGGACGGGGTGCACGGTCCTTGTGGCCGTGCTAGGCTCGAAGAGTGGTTCCATGCACTCAGTGTGGAGCGGACTACGGTCCAGCCACCGCCTTGTGTGCGCTTGATTCCCCAAATACAGCGTGCTTGTGTTTGTCTGTGAAGGAGTGTGGGCCGGCTCCGTTGATGAAACGTGGCTCCCATCCGCATGCCTCCCGGTCTTATTCCTTCGGGTTTACACTGGATATGGGGTTTGTGGATGGAGCTGTGGGTGGTGCAGCGCAAGCCATCCATGCTCCCTCTGTAGGCGCAGGCGTGCTGTGGCTGACCACAGTGACAGGCAAATCCGAAACCGTATGCCGCCAACCATATATATATATATATATATATATATATATATATATATATATATATATATCAGGATCAAAAGAGAGTTAGGCGAACAAGCTTGTTTTCAGTGGATCGCATCAGGCCAACACACCACAGATGATAGGAATAAATCAAAACACAGGGTATTTAAATACAATGAATCAATTAAGTGAATTGACCGGTTAATGCGATCAAGTGACCACACTGGCTTGGGCATCGTTAGTGAAAGGGTCAGGCGTGGTGTCGTAACATGGGGAAGCTTGAAGCCATGGCAGCTGTAGAGCATGTACAAACTTCTTTTGGGCACACAATTCGGGATTATGGAGCCGAATAGCGATTGCTTCCGCTGTCGCCAATAGGCGACATCGGAGGGCTCGTGTGTGGCGTCCAGATATCCTGTAGATAGGCCGGAAGGCCTCTTGCACATTCACTTTGTGATTTGTGTCGGCCAAATGCCCCAACGCCGCGCTGACTACTGTCTTTCTGACACCAGTGTAGAGCAACGCCGGGCAATGTTCTCGCACTCTCTCAGACAGTCTCCTGGTCATCTTTCCAATATAACTTGCTCGAAACGAGCAAGAAATATGGTACACACAGAAGGAAATATTCGACATCGGCAATCTGTCCTTGAGATGCTGACTCACGAGTGGCGTAGAAGTGAAGCTGACGCGGAGGTCAGCTGCAAAGTACGTTCTCGCTGCTGCATTGCAGAGCCTTCGAGTAGTTCGTACTGCTGTCACATCACCTTTGAAAGGCAGTGATAAGTAGATTAAGCGCTTTTCAGCGGTGCTTGGTTGAACTTTAGGTGCTCGTGGCTCCATGTGTCTCCGGATGAATTTGTCCGGAAAACCATTTTGTTCGAGAACGCTTCGAAAAAACTCAGTTCATCTGACAGCGTATCTTCCGTGTGTAAATGTATATATAGGCGACAGTCTGTAAAATAGACATCGGACCATTCGAAACATGGAATTTAGGACAATAATACAAAATATGTACAATGATTTGTTTGTGTATGAAAAACGGAACAACAAATTTTGGTCGTTATACACATGCTGTTTTGTATTTTTTTTCTTTCTTTTTGGTTTTTAAACGTGATTTCAGAGGCAAAATATAAAGAGCGATACGATAATTAATACGTTAATGTCCAAGAGCGACAAATGATGCAGCTACACAGAGTACGCTCTACTCGCTGCTTCTAATCAGTATCAGACTTGTGCAGATTGCTTCCAGCGTTGTGAACTATTGCCATTCTTCATCACTGGGTACCCAGCTGGGGCGTCGTATGGGACCAGCTTGGCTAGGCAAGATGGCACTAATTTATTGCATTGTCGCCAGGTGGACGGTGAACTTCCACGCGGCCTTTTCCAAGGTAATCATGCGTGCGCAAACAGGGTGGTGAACGCTCGTTAGGCATGCGTGATACGTGGCCAAACCATATCAATTGACGCAGCCGGACGAAATCACAAAGTGGAACATCAGCCTTACCCAAGACGCGGTGTCCAACGTCATCATTGCGCACTCAGTGTTGCCGACACACGCGGGCAATCCTCTGCATACAGTTGCTGTCAAATATCGAAAGATTACGCATGTATTCCGCAAGGATCGGCCAGAATTCGCATCTTTACAGCATTATCACGCTGTGCTTTAGCGAGAGTGAAATGTCGCGGCGGCGCCGTAAATGTCTTAAGTTGGCAAACGCTAACTGGGCTTTAGCGGTACGATAGTGCCGTCGGCAGAAACGCAGTTCCCTAGATGGACAAAACCATCTGCGTGCGAGGAATAAGAGTAGTGAATCAATAGGGATGGAAGCGCGATTAACATCGTAAGATGGAGCAATCACTACCTCGTGGGAGTCTGACCCATTGTGATCGATTCAGAGGGGCTCCTCCGGGAAGACGGCATATGCCATCTCTACTCAGCACCTCTTTACGTTTCAAGCTTTCTTGTAACGACATGGCCGGCTCATGGTTTCATCTAACTTAGTGCACACAGAGCCAACCGGTTAGCAAGTATGCGAAAAACGTGATCCGACCGGCCACTGAGGGGTATTGCCAGATGACGAGCTTCATTATTGATTATCCGATGCTTTCACCAAGTGTGACTACATTTTGCGTGGATCGGTTGTCCAGTGCGATTAGCCTCTTAATGTCCACAGCAAGCGGAGACCATTTCTGCGTAATATAGACCTGATTACTCAAAGAAGTCCTCAGGTCAAGAGAACCGGAAGTGGGAAGTAGGTTCACTTCGGTGAAACAATTTTAACCTAGCGCACATAGGTGCAGTGGATCCACTTATCACGACTCTTGTGGCCAGGACAGCGATAAATATAAATGGTGAGAAAATTTGGCAGAACGCAGAGAGAATACCGATAAACTTCAAGAAGTGAGCAAAATGGACGAATGCAATAAACCTAATACAAGAGCACCACTGACTGCGGCTTCCAACCACTGGCGCGGCCATTTCCGTTGAGCCTACTCATGAAGACAGCACGCATCAGTCTGATCAAGTCCCATCATCCACTCGCCACCTCGTGGCGTCCCTAGCTTAGTACAGCAACAGCATATAATGTACGCCCGTCAAAGGGCATACAGAAGACATGATCTAGCCAACGTAAGCGATTGAACTTATTCAAACACTCCAATAATGCCAACACTAACTGGCAGACCCTAGCATTGTTCCTGCCACAAGCACCGGTGGTCATACACGGTTAAGTGTTTAACATCTTCACTGGCCATACAGTAGCACCGACCTTATCGAAGCGTTATACACCTTACCTTTCACTGAAGAGTTGACATCCCGCAGTCTCCATATATAGTTGAGCCTCTGAAATGCCACACGGACCTTGGTGCTACGCGAAGTAACTTTCTTAGTGATGTGACCGCCAGAGATAACACAGCTACCAAGATAAGTGAACGGGTTCAACACTTTCGTTGATAGTTTGCTAACTAGCTAGAACTGGTGGTGTGCGCGCCCAGTCCTTCAACCGTACTTTGTAGGGCACATACCGTAGCATACAGCGCCACATATCATTCTTTTCAGTAGTGCTTGCATAGCTACTGCGTGAGGCCAAAAGACCCTTCGCGATGAAACTGGACCTTAACGCGGTGCGATGGTTTGCGTGCCTCAGTGATCCATTGAGCTATGCTAGGTGGTGCCTTCTGCCCCTTCAAATCCACTCACACCAGATTGAGTCAATGGCTAGAGGCTTGACAAACTCAGTCTCCTGGCCCTCCAGGTTGCGGGTTGAAGTGAGGGTGGCTTCTTACTCCATAAAAGGGGCTGTCTGTAGTCCAGTGCCAAAACCCCGCTGTTTTGAGGTAAGGTTTCTGAACCAACAGCTTTGGTTGAGAACCCTAATCGTTCTCTTTTCTAGACCTGGGCAATCTGGCAGTATTCTGCCCACGCAATACAATGACCTTACATACAAACAATTTCTTGATGACTAATGAGTGGACGGATTTGGGTACGTTGCGATTTGGTTCATCGCAATTAGATTCCAAGCCGCATAGGTAAGCTGACAATCCGGAAAAGCACCAGACGCGCGTTTCGCCTTACTGGGGCTCGTCAGTGGTGCGCTGCTGGCTAGTTGGCGTTAGCCTCTAGCGGTCATGGGTTCGATCCCCAGTAGGGGACCGATGGATGTGCACCACTGACGAGCCCCAATAGGGCGAAACGCGCGGCTAGTGCTTTTCCGGATTGGTAGCTTACCTATGCGGCTTGGAATGTAATTGCGATGAACCAAATTCCTTGATGGTCTGGCCGTCACAGCGGCGCCCTATTTGCTGCATCGAGCAGGGTGGGTAGGGGTTTGGATGCTACTGCTCAAGCCTTCCCGTCTTCTTCTTTCCTCTTTCACGCTTCTTCATCATCGTCCTCTTCCAACTCCACTTTTATCCCCCTGTTCTCAACCCCAATTCTTGGCCCTCCTCTATGTTGTTCCAGTAATCGTTCGTCTTATAATTTCGTCTCACAAGCAATCGCAGGGTATCGCTCCGGTCCAATCGGCAAGT